TTGCCCATAGATTTCAGAGATTAAATTCGTTCCTGGAATTTGTTGGACAAGCATGTATTACAGCTTGCACCTCCCAAAACTGGAATTCTCTGGTCTGGCAACATCCGTGGTCCGGCTGGACCATGCATGTTCCTGGATCAAAGAACTCTGGTAGCCTAGTGACAGAAGGGCAATCCAGGAGGGGCTGGGCTTAAGCAGCGGAACAGGGCTGGGGTTGGTGGCAGCCCCTGGCAGCCTGCAGCACTGGGACCAAGTTGGGGCAACCCCCAGCAGTACAGGATAAAGCTGGAGACATCCCAAAGCAGCGCGGGGCCAGGGCCAGAGCCTGTGGGCTGCTGCAGGGTGGTAGCCCGTGGCAGCCTTAGCTGTACTGGCACGTAGGGCTGGAACCCCAGACACTCCCGGAAGTGGGGCCAGAGCCTGCAGTCCAGAGCCTGTGGAGCCCGACCATTCCGCAGCCCATCAGGATCAGAGCCCGGCAGCGCAGGCTGCTAGATCCCGGTAGGCAGTCCGGACGGGGCAGCAGCAGTCAGGCCAGTAACCCAACAGGCAGCCTGGCAGGGGCTGGAGGTAGGCTCCTGATCTCCCCTCCCCCCGCCCAAACTGGCAGAGTCAGCAGCTGGGGGCTATGGCAGGGAACCTGCTCTAGTCTGGCAAATTCCCTGGTGTCGGGTCTTGAGGGTGCCAGATAAGAGATGTCCAACACAGCTGTATTTGCTTATTATTAAAGAACCCTTTGTATATAGCAGTGGATTTTTTTAAGTCATATTTATTTTCTATTTGATAAACTATTAGTGATAATCCATGGCCCAAGGAATACTTGGGAAATAACTTTTCTGTTTGTGCCATATAATGCATCGAATGATATAGAATTATTATTGTACATCTCCAGCTGTTTGGGGTTTGATTCTCTGATTCAAGTTCTTGATAGTAAGAGTCAGTTTTTAAAATATGGTTTTGATAAGGATTTAACTTTCTGTAACATAGCCCAGAATTTATCTAGATGATCCAGATAGCTGAGGTCCATCTCCCAGGTACAGGTCACAGCAAGACCACACTGAATGGGTCAACTGCCTTTAAGCCCCTCGTGCCACAAGTAGACTCCCTAGATGTGACTACGCCTTTGTCATCACTTACTGGGAGATTAACCCTGTGGAGATCGAGCTCCGGGGCGTTGATTGAGTCTAATAAGGACGTGCTAAATCGATTGCTGATTGTGCTCACATCAACTCTGGGACTCCACCAGGTTGTGAAGAGTGAGGGAAGTCAATGGGGGAGTTTCTCTTATCGAACCCCTGCATGATAAGTCAAACTAAGGTACGTCAGCTGCAGCTACACTGTTCACATAGCTGGAGTTGCATACTTTAATCCAGGTCTACACTGTAGGAGAAAGTTGAACAAGATACACAACTCCTTATTAGACCTGCTAAATCAAACCCTGTGAGATTGATTTCTGCAGCATTGTCTCCTGGTAAGTAGAGGCAAGCCCTTAGTTCGACTTTGCCCCTCCCAGTGTAAACCTGGCCTATGAGACTGAAAGGAATCATTAGCAGGCCTAGTGCAAGCCAAATTTTTCTCTAATTGTCAAAAGCCAAAAAAGTCAAAGAAATTATTATACTCTGTAGAAACAGTATTGTTTTATGGAGAGTTTTGGAGTCTGCAGTGCTTGGCGTCATTAACAAATGTTCCACTCCCATCTTTAAGAGGCTAAAGCTTTAAACCGCTCAGGTCCTTCACTAAAGACCAAACCCAAATATTTATTATGAGCAAGTGAAGTAAGTGTTTCTAGTAAGTGTTTCTCTATCTCCAAAGTCCTTGCTTGAGAGGTCCCCCGAGGCTCATTCTTCTTCCTTACATTATTCAGTATCTGCATAAAGCAGTCAGCGGAGCCATTGAGACAACACAGGCTGAAATGACAGCAGCACACGGACCGTGCCCAGCTCTGCATCTCCTCTGTGTTCAGTATAAACAGCCTTGCTCTCAGCTTTCCTAGCCACTAGCCAGAATCATCCTTTCTTGGATGATGATCAGCTGCCTAAAGCTCGACTCTCCCACACTCAAAGTCATCTGCCCTCAGGTTTTTAAGTCAGTCTGCAACCGTCCTTCTTGTTGGTGTGAATTGATGCCCAAATAGCTGTGTTAATAAAAATGTCCATTTCTCTCTTCCTGCAGCTGGCCCCCAAAAGTCCGTATCCCCATTGTAATGGCCATAGACCTGGCTATGTGTTGCATGCTTTTGCTGTGGGCTTGATGGATGCAATTCATAACTAGAAACAAAGCCATTCACCGTGAAACAATTCCAAGTTGTACAAAAAACAGATCATCTGCTTAGCCATCAGTCACCAGAACACACCATCTAAGTACTCCAGTCTCAGGGCTGGCTTCTCATTAAATACAGAATCTAGTTTATGGTCTTCGTCCTAGGGTTCAAAGTCATACATGGAATTGGCCCTAATTATGTGGAGGGTCATGTCTCTGCATGACTGATAGCCACGCAGCACAGCTACATTCTGCAATCATAAACTTCTTAGCACATTAGAATTTTGTGGCAGTGGGACCTGTGGATTGCAGTGATTTATCCATACAACTTATTCTGATCTTCCAGGTAGGGTAAGAGAGAGAAGGCAGAAAGAGAGGAAAGGTATCCATGTTGCTTTCTTAATTTTGGGGAGATTCTTCTGCTCCGGTCCTAGATGCCGTGTAAGAATTTAGAATAAGTTTTCCAATTACAGGCAGTCCCCGGGTTACGTGGATCCGACTTATGTTGGATCCCTACTTAAGAACGGGGTGCTGCGACCCCCCCCCCCCCCCCCCCGCTCCCCCCCCCCAGCAGACCGTCAAGACGGGCCGGGGCCG